TCCTGCCTGTGTCAGGGAGAGAGAATGGAAGGTGTTTAGGTGGATGCCATGACTGTTTAGAACGAATTGATCCAGGCATCATGATTCAATAGGGAGGACCCTGAGTATGGGGCTGAAGGGGCAGAGCTCCAAATCATTGTTGAAATCCTGAGCCCTTAAAGCAAAGGTACCAACCAGGAGGGGTATTTGGGGCTGGAGCAGGTCTAGCAGGTGATAGGTGAAAAAAACCTTGCCCAATGAACCTTGCCCTGGCCCTACAGACAGACAGAAGTGAGAGCCTGTTGTCTGACGACCGTGCAGGCCACAGAACAAGGTCATAGCAGCCACAACCGGCAAGCTGGATTTCTCACATAGTAGGCTATTCTGAGTATTTAAACAGAGAAAAGAAGGCAGCCTAGGTGGATAGGGTCAGCAGAAGGCCTGGCAATTGAAGGAAGGACCAGAGAGAAAGAGAACTGCCCCACCCCACCACATACCCTGTTCCCAGCAGCAACCTTACATACACAGCAACCTGAGCAGCTCAGGTCGACCATTGGGGTGAGCCAGTGAGTAAGAAGACATTCATGGGCAGGGAAGGGTGCATGAAGCCTGGGAATCAGGCTTAGGGGGTCTGTGAGGAGCAGCTGGTAACTCCCCAGGGCTCCGCCATGACTTGCCGCTGGTGAAGAAAGGTGGGCTGGTCCTCTCTGGTGTGGGGACTTTATAGTCAGAGGCTGGGGAGCCACAGCTGTGTGACTGCAGGGATTCCTCGCCCTTGCACAGCCCCAGTGTCCTCTGTAGAAGAGGCTGATGAGGCTGACTGCACAGCTAAAAAGCTATGTGTTTGCACTGTCTGAGAAGTGGGGAGTTCTTGGTGTGTGCGAGGCAGAGGAGGTTTTGTAGAAGGTGGGACATTAGAGCTCTGGGAGGAGGCATAGGAGTTTGCTCCACAACTTCTCTGACAGAATTTACTCCCTCCCTCCCCTCTGGACCCATCATCTGAGCCTGTGGCACACAGGGAAGGGACCTGGAAGAAAACCTTTGGGTTCTCTTGTCTGATCAATTTGGGTCTCAGTGTGTACCCTGACCATGCCCTCATCCGAATTGGCCTTATTCCATTTGGCAGGGAGCTGGCATCTTAGTGTGTGAGCTGGGATATGCTGGTTGCAAGAGACCTTGCTTGGACAGGTCCTCAAAACCACCCGCTGAAGTGTGGTTCCCAGGTCTTTCTGAGGTCACAGTGAAGGAAGCTGAGGCATGCAGTCCCATGCAGTCGCTCACAAGAGTCTGCAACAGTACACAGGGCCAGAGGAGCCCCTCCACAGAAATGTCAAACAAGACCCTGGGGTTACACAGGGGACAGTGTCACCCCGTGACTCGATAGATCATGGTCATGTGGGATTGTGGGCACACAGCAGCTCAAGGTGCAGGGGTGAAGAGAGGAGAATGCCTTAGAGCATCTGTCAAGGAGAAATCTGTTTCCAGACATTGCTTGTGCCTGGGACTTACAGGACCTGTGAGCTCTGCAAGGGGAGCAACCCCTCCGAGCCATGCCCCATGCCCCACTGTGACACGGAGCCCACCCCTTCACATCTTCTATCATGAGAGGCACCCCTCAACTTGTAGATAAGCTTCCACCCCAGCTCCTCTGTCTCTACCCTGCCCCACTTCCCGGTTCCTGATTTAACAACCTCCTTCTACCTCTTTCCTTGGAATCCCCAGCAAGAGAGCCAGAGTGCCCTGGAGATGCCAAGTTACCAACTACTACCCTGCAAATGCCATCCTCACCAAATCTGTCTTTTTGGAGAAAGGCAGACTCCTAGGTGGGTGGCGGCCTGGATTATCCAAGTGGCCTTGGCTGCCTTCCTGTGTCCTGATTGGAGTGAGGAGCAGGGAGACAGCCCCCACCCTCACAGACTGATCATGCCCAGAGCTAGTGTATACCGTGCAGCCCTGCGGCCTCAGCACCCAGGGTTGCCATGGCCACGGCACAGGTGCTGGAGGATGCTCCGCCCTTTCCAGCCACCTCTCTCCTAGCCTCAGCTCCCAGGGTCTGTTTCCCACCATCTCTGGGACACCCCTCAATCCCACAGTGCAACACCTCTAGCTGCCAACCTCAGAAGTTTGGGGCAGGAATTTGAAGATGGTCAATTGTCAATCATAGTTGATCCAAGCAGCCTGTGAGTTCTGCTCTGGCAGAAATCCAATGAAGGTGGCTTAGGAGCTTCTCGGGAAATATAGATCGTATTAATGTACACTAGACACATGGCCCCGGAAAGCAGCCTCTGGGACTCCTGGGAAGAGGACAGGCTCCTCCGAAGAGCCTCCCCAGAGGCTCAGAATCATTTCCTGCCTGGTCTCCACAAGGTGGGAACTTTCAACTCAACCTCCTGACCCCCTCACAAACCGCCTCTGCCAAGACTGAGCTCCTCTGCACTGGCCATCATGGGACCCACCCAAGGCCTCAGAGTCAAAGATCCAGGAGAGTGGGGTGCGGACAACCTCCTGTGATTGCTGCTCATAGGGTGTTCAGGAAGGGACTAAACAAGCTTGTGAAGCAGCTGCTGACATGGAGTCATGTGGAGCAAGTGGGATCTCATAAGCCCACGAGCCTGAGCTCATGAGCATGAGCTCACGGAGAGCGTGGTGGGCAGAACGTTGGCCCTGTGTGATGGATTCTTCGTTGAAACTTTTTGCAGTAAAATACAAGTGACAGGAGAAGAGTCATCGAGGGTTCACACCCTCCCATGGTTCCCATGATCATATCTGAGATGGACCAGGACCTGGGAGAGGCTGATTTGCTCAGAAGCTTTGTGGATTGGATGTGGCTGTACCCCAAAGGCATGTGTTCTGATGCCATTGGTGGTAGGTGAGGGTGAGCACCCACCCACCCACCCTCCTTGACTTATGTGGGATTTTCTAATGCCCTCTGCTGGCACTGGTAAGACTTTCATGAAAGCCAACATGTAACTGACTCCTCCCTGGTGCTTCTTTTGATTTGTCCCCACAGAGGCCCCACCCCCATCCCTTACGGGGAGAGAATCACCCCCTCCTGTGTGAACCGCTGAGGTCAGGGCTAGTCCAGCCTCGCTTGGCCCCCATACAGGCCATGCTGGGAATGGGTGTGTCCACAGGCATCACTGAATGATGACTGCTTGGTGGGGCCTCTAGTCTAGAAATGGCCATTTAGAGTGAGTACATTGCACAATGGTTCTTTCTCAGCCCTCCCCCCCCCCCCCCCACTGAGGCAGGCATGATGGGAAGGTGAGGGGAACTACGGAGGTTCTGCAAGCAGGGAAACATGTTGGTAAGGAGTCAACAGCCACTTCCCTCCTCCTAGAGCAAGCCTGTCTCTGTCCTCAGACATACCTGCAAGTTCACTTCCCGGAGGCTTCAGGCTGATAGGTCCCCACAGAGATGTTCTCAGCCTACTGACTGGGTCATAGCAGCATCCTTGACCTCCAGGAGCCAATGCCCCTGCTCTTTAGAGGTATAAGCCTAGAATTCCTGCCTCTTTAGGACACAGAGGCTGTCAACCCAAGTCTGGCCCAAAGCACTGGCTTTGCAGAAAGGTCACAGGGGGCAGGGAAGGGCAGAGTGGATGTCATTTGCAACCGCTTGAAGCTCTGACTCAGGTCACACAGAGGGTCCTAGTGATCCCCCACACGCTCAGCACCCTCAACACCTGCATCTACCTACCCTTGGACAAAGCTGGAGCAGAGAGTAACTGCTCCCAAGTGTGTGCTGGGGTGGGGCCCATAGCCTCAAACTCATGTGTGAAGGCAGCTGACACGGGGGCTCCTTCTAAAGCCCGGGCAATGGGCCTGCTGGCTGCTGAGGTCTTCAAGAGCCCACAGGAGAACACCAAGGAGATCTTCAGCCTCCACTATCCACTCCTGCCTGGGCAGGGAGTCTGCAGGCTGTTTTGTGTCCATGTCACTTCGTCTTGTCAATCGCACAAGCTCAAGGTTGGGCTTCTTTGGTTACAGATAATGGGACAGAGGGTCTGAGGGTGCAAGACAGTAGACACTGTTACTCAGCCTTGGTACAGCATGGTATGGCTATTGGGGTGTCCTGGACTCATGAACATCCTAATAGGACACAGCGCTGTGGCAGGGCCAGTCCAGGAAGCACCCTAAAGCTCCCAAGCAGCCTGCAACCCAAGTCTCACCTCAGCCCCAAGGCAGCCATTTTGCTTCAGGGCTGACCATCCTGGGCTCAGAGTGATCTACCCACAAAGGCCCTGCACCCCGAGATAGCTGGCAGCTGAGGATGCCCCAGTGGACAACTCCTTGCTGGACAGCGGGCAGGTGATGACCTCAGCCATGTGTCCTTAGTTGCCATGACAACTCTGACTGATCCCAGAGTAGGTCACCACTACCCTTCATCTTCAGTTAGGCTACCTCCCTTCCTGCTGTGGCCCAACCCACCCCAAGAATGGGACTGTCAGCAGCTGGCCAAGGACTTGGGTGGGGGAGGAACTGGTGCTGGGAAGTTCTCTGCTGCCCCCTGGTGGGCAGACGGGGAAGATCATCTGCTTCAGGAGGGCTTTGAAAGGTAGACAAGGCTCCTTGGTGTTCAGCAAGGTTGTGTGGAGAGGACACCCTAGTTCCTGCCTGAAATGTCTGTTTTGAAGAGGGAATTAGGGAGAATATAGAGTTCTGGGATACACAGGGGTTCCTCTCAGGCAGGTACTGTGAGGATACAGGCTTGTGTCATATACACAAGAGAGCAGTGATAGCAAAGAGGCTGCCTTAGGCCCAGGCCACCTTTTGATAGACAAAGGGATGGAGGATGGAGGTAAGTGATTTGCCAAGGCCACACCATGAAAGCCAGCAGGAGATTCTGCCTACACCTGCTGGCTTCAGTCCTCACTGAAGACAAGGTAGGGCTAGGCTGAAGTGGGTCCAGAAAATGGATGGGTCAGGGAGCTGGGAGAGGTGGAGCCTGCAACCACAGGCAGGCCTATCACACACCTAGAAGATACCACAGTTGCTGAAAAATATTTACTACTGTTTGGTCCTTCAGTGATCCCCCCCACCCCCAGAAAAAAAACTGCCTGCACCCCAAGAAGAGGAAGTGTCCCCTTGCACACGCCCCTTCTCAGGCTGTCAAGATGGGTGGCCAGAGGCCAGCCAGGGTGCCCTGCCACAGAAGCGCTGGGGCACCAGGTTGGTCCTGCGGAGGTTCAGTTCTGAGGCAAAGGTCCTTGCTTTCTGGTAGAAGAAGAGGGACATCTCTCGGTCCATGAGGAAGTGGTGGTAGATGGTGGCCAGGCGTGTGTAAATTTTCAGCTGAGCCTTCTTGTGGCCCAGGTCTACGGCCGCTGCCAGGGCCAGCTGGTAATAGCCGGCTGCATCAAAGGGGTCCTGTGGGTAGATGTCGTTTGAACGGGTTCAGTTGAGTCACTGAGTGGGGTGGGGGACACATGGAACATCCCCCAAGGGCTACACAACACAGGGTCACTCTGATTCACCCTCACATAATGGGCAGAGTGAGAAGTGGAAATACCTTGAGCGACCAAGGGCTACACTCTCCCAGGCTCGCTCTCATGCACACCCCCGTAATGGCTGACCCACAGGGACACCTCAGGATCCTATGAGAACATCCCATCTTGCCCTATCACAGTCACAGCCTCTTCCCAACAGGGCTGGAGCTTCCTAGTCCTTGGTTTTGGACACCTTTTATTGCTGTTGTTGGGTTTTGCTCTTTTTTAGTTTTTGGAGACAGGGTTTCTTTGTATAGCCCTGGTTGATCTGGAACTCACTCTGTAGACCAGGCTGGCTGAGAGCTCAGAGATCTGCCTGCCTCTGCCTTCCTAGTGCTGGGATTAAAGGCAAGCACCACCACCACCCAGCTGGATACCATTTTTTAAAAGGTGTCCCAGCTAAGGGCACACCAGCTTGGGGGCTGGCTCAGAGCAGCTCCAAGTCCACCTCAAGTGTGATCCAGAAATCCGGGTGGCATTCCTCACTCTGGGTTCAAGACCACCCCTCCCTGGCTGACTCTGTGACATGAGGAAGTATGAGGGGTACCTGGTACCTCAGGATAGAAGTTCTGAAGGAGACAGCACTCAGCTAGGTGGGAAGGACAGCCAAAGTGTGTGCGAATATGTATGTGTGTGGTAGCTCGGATTCACATGTGTGCCTACAGCTGTGACCAACAAGGACTCAGGCAGCCTGGCATCAGCGTACCCCTTCCTGAACCTCAGTTTCCCTCACTGTGAGGCAGGAGGGTATCATCTCCAGCTGAGTAGGAAAGACAATGCCAAAGAGTTACAGCACGGAATTGTGGAGGAAGGCTGACATCCTGGGTGGGCTTCCTAGAGGAGGCACCATGATGTGAGTCTCAGGGGTCAATGGTCATAGATGTCCCTGTCCCTTTATGTTCCTTTGGGGGATCACCACATCCGGGAAGGTCCCTAACTACTTTCCCACTGCTGGTATACTGTGCCCTGTGCCCTCTATTTGTTGCATGAGAGGGCCAAGCCTGACCAGCACAAGAGGTTAGCCCTGTCTGCTGAGCTCGCTGGCTTCTCACAGCCAGGCCTTGTTCTGGGAGAACGTGAGGCTCCCGTTGCCTCCACTCCTGGGAGGCAATGTCTGCATGTACAGACCCCACACTCAGGCAGAGCAGTGCCTCGACCCCAGGATGAGACCCTTCTTGCCTACCTTCAGTTCATAGAAGATGATGTCACCCAGCACCAGGTACACCTTCACATAGTACAGGGTCTCTTCATCGAACTCCAGGGGTGAGCTGCAGAGTGACAGAGCCTTGAGGAAGAAGTGCTCGGCCAGTTCTCCTTGGCCCAGCCGGTGGTGCAGGGTAGCTAGCCGGTGGTAGGCCACTCGCTCGTTCAGGCGGTCACCTGAGGGTGTGGGTGGGGGTGGGGGGTGAAACAGGTGTGAAAACACTGCCCAGTGGGGCAGGCAGGGCACAAGACAATTAGGAGAGAGCTTGTAAATGCAGCTGTGTGTAGTCACAGCCTTTGCCCCGGAAGCTCTAGCTAGTCATTTCCTGTTCCCCGACTCATTTTCTCACTGTAGAGGGAGCTAATGACAGCGGTTCCCCTTGCTTCTACTTGCAGATCTAGCAAAGCTGCAGGCTTGCATGCCCACTTCATGCCTGCATGGAGCTGCCTGGGGTGCCTTTGGTTAGGTCCATGATCTATGCATTCCCAGGCACGGGGCTCGAGGACTGGCTGTGGCTGCCGCCTTGTATGCTCAGCGCAGTCCTTCACCTTAGGGAGCCATGCTCATCAGAGCCCTGGGCTTTCCCCTGCAAACAGGCGACCTGCACGGGTGGGCTTAAGCGCCAGTCCAAGGAGCCTGTCCCCAGCACTTTGAGTTCAGCTCCACACCGCCTGCAGGCCCGAGGGCCCAGCCAGCCCACTTGGAGCTCCCTCCCAGGAGGAACACATACACTTCCAGTCAGTGTTCAATGCTGGACAGAAAGTAGCCCGGAAGTAGGAAACGGAGCGCAGACAGTGGGTGAGGACAGGAGAGGCGGCAAAGGGGCATGAGAGAGATCAGCACACACAAGTTCACCCGAGTGGAAAGCAGGGCAAGCCAGCCAGCGTTTGGTCCAGCAAGAGAAAGAGGCAGAGGAAGCCTCCAAGCTTTGCTCTTCTTGAGTCCCTGCCCACCCTGTGCTTGGCCATGGCTAGCCACTGCCTGCACAGCAGAGCTGCTGTGGGCCTCAGCCAGCCTTCGCAGGAGATGGGAGAAGCCGAGTAATGTCTGCTCTGCAGACCTGGGGCTGGAGGCCGAGTAGGATGGGGTGCAGAGCTGGGCACCAGGCTGGGAACTCACCCAGAGTGATGCTGAGTGCTAGGGCCTCATGGGCGAACTCTAGGCCCTCCTGGGGTGTCTCCAGCGTGGACAGAAGGGCCACCAGCTTGTTGCACAGGCGCAGCTCTGCCTCTTGGTTTCCTACAGTCACAGCCAGGGGCAGTGCCCGGTCCTGTCCACATAGAGATGTTAGGCTTCTGCAGTGCCCAACTCGCAAAATACCGCATGGGCCCACATGTGTGCACAGTCTTCTCATAGGACAGTGGATGGTTCTGTCCTGACACCAGAGACAGAGATCCTGGGTGACCCTTGCCTAGTCAACTATACCTTCAGCCTCAGACCAGCGTGTCCCTCTGCCCCAGGTGCCAGGGCTTGGGTGGAGCATTCAATCATTCTAAATGCAGCTGTATACTGTGAGCGAGGCCAGAGGAGAAGCCCGTGTCTCCCTGAGCTCAGCTTCCTCAACTGTACGGTGACAGGATTCCTGTCCAGGTATCAGCGTGCAAGTGTGAAGCATATGCTGGTGCCTCCCAGAGGGGTCAAGGGTCACTCCAGGAAAGCCAGCTACACTCCAAGAAAGAAGCTCTCTACCTCCAGGTGGAAAGCCTCTGCCAGCCGCACCTGTGCCCACTGAGGGACACGTTACCTGCCCTAGGTGGCCACTCACCCGGTAGAAGGACACAGCTTTCTCTCGCTCCCAGGTCCCATTGAAGAAGATGTCCCCAGCTGCCTCAAACAGCTCCAGCCCCAGCTTGGGGTCCCCAGTATACAGGGCTGCGTTCTGTGCCACCTGTAAGGACCAGAAGTTCTCTGGCGACAGCACCCCTTGGAGGGGCCATGCCTCTGAGATGTGTGCCCTCACACCTGGAGACATGAACCTCCCTTCTGCCCCTGTGGGCTCGTGGCTCTGAGGAGGGCAGCTTTCGGGACCCGAGAGCTGAGAAGTGTCAGTCCAGCTGCAGGCCCAGAGCCCATCAGGTGTGGGCTGCCCAGGAGAGCAGGGAAGAGCTCAGACTGGTCTCTGGTCAGCCCAGCTTGTTCAAATCACAGCTCCCTGCCCCTATACCACCTGTGGCTTTCACCACATCTTATTTCTTCCTGACCCATCCATGCTCACCTTCTCTCCTATCAGTGCCACAGGACAGGGCCTGAGACTGTGGCTTCTCTGCTGTGTCCAGGGATGTCTTGCAATGTCTGGTACATAGTAGATGCCCAACAAACATCTGCTCAGTGATGCGAGAATAAAGCTTATTCACTCTCTAGCGTCTAAATCGGACCTTGATATTCTCTTCCAGCAGGTGGCGCCAGCTCCCCATCCTGACTCAAAGCTGCTTGATCTCAGGCTCAGGGACCTTCCCTGTGCTCTCTAAGCCCGGACTCTTTGATCCTAGATCTGCAGCTCACAGTGCTGTTCCTGTCCAGATCATCTGTCCAGATCACACTGTGTTTGGGAAGCATCACAACTTCTATTATAAGCATGTTCTGAAGTCAATATACCACGAGCTGCTGAAGCAAGTTCTTCTGTGTATAAACTGAGTAGACACAGCATTCACACATACACTGAGCACTTGCTATGTACCACACAGAACCCACCCTCTGCCCAGGGAGCTCAGAGAGGCTGGGCATTGAGGGAAGTTGAGGAAACCAGAGTGGGAAAGAGGTCCCTGGGATACAGGAGGCATTCAACAGTGGTCCTCCACAGTGATGGATGGGTGAGAGGATGAGCAAGTATAGGTGGATGAGGGGATGGAGATGTGGCTGGCTGGATGGGCAAATGAATGTGTGGGTGAACAGGGAGATGCAATGAATGGATGAGTAGGAGGGTGGTCGAAAGGATGGATGGGTGGGTAGATGGGTGAGTGAGCAGACAGGTAGATGAGTGGGTTGGTGAACAGGTGAGAGGACAGGTAAATGGGTAGTTAGATGGGTGGGTGGGTGTGGGTGAGTGGGTAGCTAAGTGGGTAGCTGGGTGAGCGGAAGGTAGATGAACAGGTAGGAGCAGGGCAGGTGAGTGGGTAGTTAAGCGGGTCTGTGGCTGGTTAGGTGGGTAGGTGAGCTGGTGAGTGGGTAGTTAGGTGGGTCTGTGGCTGGTTAGGTGGGTAGGTGAGCAGGTGAGTGGGTAATTAGGTGGGTCGGGTGGTGAGTACGGGTGAGCCAGCGCACCCTGCCAGCCCTGAGCGCACCTGGATGTACAAGTCCACCAGCTCATTCTGGCGCAGGATATAGTAGATCTTCCCTGCCTGCAGCCAGGCGCGTGCCTCCTTCTCCTTCTGCTGCAGGTCGATGAAAATCCCCAGGCTCCGTTTGGTGTAGTCCAGAGCAGACTTGTAGGCCCTGGGGTCAGACACAGGCGTCGGAACAGGATCTGCCGACAGAATGCTCTGGAAGGGCAGGACCTGAAGGAATCATCCTGCCTGCTCCCCTCTCCCCCCACACCCCAGCATGGAAAGACAAAGGGGGCTCTTCAGAGGGAAGACAGAAGCTGTGTGTGAGGAACCCTCTATGTCTGTCAACCCCAACACACTGGATCCAGCCAGTAATGGCTACTTTTATGTCAACCTGGCACAAGCTAGAGTCACGTGGGAAGAGGGAATCTCATTTGAGAAAATATTCCCAGCAGACTGGCCTGCAATGTGTTTTCTTGATTGATGTGTGAGGGCCCAGCTTATTGTTAGTGGAGCTATTTCTGGGCTGGTGGTTCTGGGCCCTGTAAGAAAGCAGGTTGAGCAAGCCAGTTAACAGCACTCTGTGGCCTCTGCTCCAGCTCTTGTCTCCAGGTTCCTGCTGTGTTTTGAGTTGCAACCCTGACTTTTCTTAGTTACAGGCTAGGATATGAAAGTGTAAACTTAAATAAGCCCTTTCCTCCTCAAGTTGCTGTTGGTTATGATGTTTTATCACAGCAACAGAAACCCTGAGACACAGCCTTTGCCTTTTCTAGACAGTAGGGAAACAGGCACAGGGCAGAATTCAGATTGTAGGTCAGGGCTTCTCAAACTTGAATATTTTGACGTGTCACAGAGGACTGCTCTCAGCAGCTGCTGTCCCTGCTCCTAAGTCTCTGACCTGAGGCCTGGGCAGGGCTGAGCATCTCCAACAAGCTTCCAGGGAGATGGACAGCAACATATCCAAGAAGCCTTGCTCTAGGCCACGGGCTGACTTCTCTGCTGTGACTTCTGTGCTGGAAAAGGAGCCTCTCCTGTTTCCTCAGAGGCACTTCCCTGCTCCAGTGTCCCTACCTTAGGGGAGGTGTCACATTGAGGAGTTTACCAACTTGCAGGCTAGCCAGAACTGCAGTGCAGAACTTCAGGTCTCAAATACGGCCTGAGAGCCAGCTCCAGGAAAGCTGACTCTGCCCTCTGTGGTGAGAGGCCTGGAGAGCATGTGGCCACCACCATCGTACATCTGGTGGGTGAATGACACCCAACTTGCCCCGGCCGCAGTCTGACAACTAAAGAGCAAGGGCACGTAGGGGTCAGCTCACAGCAGCAACCGTGGCATGGGTGGCTTCAAAATGCCTGTAGTGATGGTCCTTGTGTAACTGAGAGTGTGAGGATAGCAGGGTTAGTCCCCTCATGCTGGGACTCATATGTCATAAACAACGAATGAATGACCCCATGTCCTGGAGGGGGGCTCCCCAGGGTTTCTGTGGCCCCTACACTGCTGTTCTTACCGCTCTGTGCCCAGCGACAGGTAGAGCTGGCTGATGGCCTCCAGGAGCTGCCCCTCCAGCACCTTGTCAGCGGTCCTGTGCGCCAGTGCCAGCTGGAACTCATGGTAGATGACACATCGCACCTCGTTGGGCATGACCTTGCTGTAGAAGTGGCACAGCTTTTTCACAGCCTGTAACTGACCTGGGTAGGGACAGAGGGAGGATGTCACCTTCCTGGCTCCATCATCTTTGAGTGCCAATGTGTGGTGGGGGTTCAAGGCCCCACTGTATGACTACCTCTTCTTCACTTCCATGAGTCATGTCTTCAAAGATGGGGATACTGAGCCCAGAGCTAGGCTACGTAGTCTGCAGAATAGCACACCATAAGGTTTCCATTAATCGACATATCAGGGAATCCCACAGATAGTGCTCAACCTGGGAAAATGGCAGCTCAATATATTTGGATTCACAGACAGTCCACAGTCAGCATCCTGCCTGGAGCCTGCCATGTAGAACAATGGCTTCTGCCTAGCTCAGGTACCTATAAGCCTGTGAGCTATCTAGGAGGCCAGGCTCCAAACCATGGCTCACTGGGCTGTCCCAAAGTCAGGGCTGGGAGCCATGAGGCATCCCCAATTGTCAGGACAACCTGGAAATCACAGAGGCAGATGACAGGAAAGGAGGGGGAAAAAAATCCCAAACCTCAACTTCCGTCTTAATGAACTAAGATGGAAAGCGATGCCGGGGAGGAGGCGATAGAATGACAGTGGAGGAAACCCCCAAAGCCGAAGTCTGGTACTCAGAAAACATCGACAGAATTATAAACTTTCACCAGCCTGGCCAAGGAAAAGGGGTTGCAGATTTCTAAAACCAGAAGGGGTGTGCTGCTGGCAGACTCCAGAAATAGCAGACCCGCCATGAAGAGTTACCCATCAATGCATCAGACTGCCATCAGAAACACAGTGCACCAACACTGACTCAATAGTGACCTGGTCTATGGCCCTAGGGTCATCCCTTGGCCTCCCCGGGGGAGGAGGGGCATATATGGCTTGGCCCTCTGCTGATACTGAGGTCTTACATCAGCAGGGATGGGCTGGTGGCTGTGTGGCCAGGTTCCTGAGGCTGTGGAAGTCTGGCTCCAGGTCAAGGGTGTAACCTGAGGCTTCCTGGTCCCTTTTATGTAAGAATCTGTCCTGCCAAAGCCTTACCTGCTGGACCCTACACACAATCCTTGGAGATTTCCTTGGCTCCCTCCTCATAATCATGTCCTCAATCATGAGACCTCAAGTGTGTGCTAGGTCTCTGCTGGAGAACAGACTCCAGCCAGACCCACCTACTCTCCATAGCCACAGTGAGTGCTCTATAGACTTGATGGCTCTCCATTCCTCTTGGGAAAAGGGGAAAACCATAGGCTGGGGTTCCTGATTACCCTTAGCGCCACAGCTGAGTCATACCCCCAATACTGCAAGGTACATGGGTTCAACACTCCCTACCTGGCTAACCTCTCCTCAGTTCTCTAGCAAAGAAGCATTCCCCAGGCTACAGCTGCCTCTGAACATGCTGATAACCCTCTCCAGGGCTGTTCTGACTTGGCCACCTGTTTCCTGTTCAGCTCTAGGCCCCAGCAAGGACAACATGGTCCCACCTGTGGGCCAGACCTGGATTATACTTTTACAAGGTCCCTGTGGGTGAATTTGATCTGCTCTGAGGCTCTGGTGAGTTCTATTTAGAAGCCCTGTGAAGTGTTCAGGGCTGCAGAAGACAAAACTGGAGGCCCAGCTCCACAGGGTCCCAAACTTGTGTTAGCTCAGTCAGGCCCCAAATCTCAATGTCATGTCTAGGATGTCCTCCATCCCAGTGTGTGTGGGGGGAGTGAGGGGAGGAATGGAGTACCTAGAGCAGTGGTTCTCAACCTCCCTGATGCTGTGACCCTTTAATAACAGTTCCTCGTGTAGCGGTGACCCCCCAAACATAAGATTATTTTTATTGTTCCTTCGTAACTCTAATTTGCCTCTGTTGTGAATCATAATGTAAATATATGTTTTCTGATGGTCTTAGGCGACCCCTAAGACCTTAGGCAGGCCTGTGAGAAAGGTCGTTCTCCCTTCCCAAAGGGGTCGTGACCCATAGGTTGAGAACCATTGACCTAGAGTAAGGCACTCTCTGCACACTCCCCGTTTGTCATTATGTCTGGCCCAGCACAGGAAGAGATGAAGAGGTTTGTCTGCCTCGAAGGTGGTGGTGGCAAACATCTCCAGGTTTCTACAAGGTGGACCAACAGCCCCTGTCCCCCGCCTCCCACCCCAAGGTGCTCTGAGTAAGGAATGATACGCTTTCTCAGAAGCCAGCATTACCCACGCAAACCCCAGGAGGTGAAGAAGGGCCACGGTGGTGGTACTTACTCTCCACGTGGTCCGTCTCCACAGACACCAGAAAGGCCCACTCGTAGTAGCACTTGGCCTGCTGGGGGAGGGCCCGGCGGGTACACAGTTGGCCCAGCCACAGGAGCACCTGGGTGAAGTCCCGGCCACACACACCGCTGGGCAGCTGGGAGAAGAGCCCCACAGCCTCTCGTAGGTAGTGCTGGGCCAAGCTGCGTGCACCAGCTTGCAGGCACAGGGCCCCAAAGTTAGCCAGGACTACTGCCTGGCTCTGCAGGTGGCCCAGGCTGTAAGCCATGTGCAGGGCTCGGAAGTAGCCTTCGGCAGCCTGCCGGGTCCTGCCCATCCTCTTCAGGGCCATGGCTGCCATGTTGGTCATCACGCATTCCTGGACCTTGTTGGCCATGGCCGAGTCTGAGATTAACTTCAGGATGTCCATGGCCACCAAGCTTTTCCCACAAAGCATGTGCAGCCAGGCAAGCGCTACCAATCGGTCCACGACAGGGTGGACCCCAGTTGCCGTGTCAGCTTCTGCAGCCTGAGACATGAAGGTGATGGCCTGGCTGTGCTGCTGGTGATGACAGTACAGTTGAGCCAGACTGGCAAAGAGGGGTCCACACAGTGCCTGACCCATGCCCGGAGCCAGAGAGGCCAATGCCTTCCTGAGGTAGTAAGCAATCTGGGAGGGAAGGCTGTGGCCTGCCCTCCTTTGGTTGTTTGGCCCGGGAGCATTCTGGAGTACCAGGTCCACACTCCTCAGGGAGCCAGCCAGCGTGCACCCAGTCCATCGTGAGGACACCCTGAGGCAGCTCAGCGCCAGGTGGGGCAGGCACTTCCGGCCGTAGATGTCTGCCAGGAGCAGGTAACAGTCTTCCGGCCACGAGGCCTGTGGGCTCCCCACATCCCTGTTAAGGCGAAGCAGTCTCTCCAGGTAGGGCAGTGCCTCCTCAGGCTGCTTGAGGTGAGTGTAGTGCCTGGCCAGCAGAAAGCAGGCCCGGGCCTCAGCCTGTGGGCTGAGGCCACAGATGGCCCTGCGCAGCGCATACTTCAGGAGCTCAGCGTCTGCACTGCACGCGTGGCCGGGCGTCCCCAGAAGCAGCGCTGCAGCTTTGGGTGCAACCTGCACACACTTCTCCCCATTTTTCTGCTTCAGATACACAGTAGCAAGGCTGGCATACACCGCCGCCACCAGGGAGAGATCCCCAAAACTTCCATCCAGAGCCCCCAGTGCTTCTTCAAAGTATACCCGGGCCTGGGATAGCTTGAGTTTTCTGGCACACAGCCGCCCCAGCAGGAGGCAGAGCCTGGCCAGGGCCATGCTCAAATTGACTTTCTTGGCAACTCCTCGGGCCTGTGCCAAGCGTCCGGCCAGTTCCTCTTCATCATCAAAGCCACAGAGTGCAGTGCTCAGCCAAGGGAGTGAGACGTCATACAGGCCCCGGAAGTGGGTCTCATAACCAGGGGCATTCAGGACCTGCAGCAGTGAGTCCAGAGGCTCAGGGTCTGTCCAGTCATCTTCAGGATCCAGGCAAAAGGGGGGCTCCTCTGGTGAACTCACTCTGCTGGACACTCCCCCAAGTCTCCAGGATACCGGGTCTTCGGGGTGGTCGGGGCAGGCCTTGCACCGTTCTAGAATGTCCTTCACCATGTGCAGAGTCTCATGTGGTTCTGGGTTCAGGTGAGGCCGAGATATTCCTAGAAATCACAGGAGGCCAGGTTGGTTACCTGTGGGCCTGACTCCCACCCTGACCTCTGTGGTATCCCCTATCACTGTCCCCTACCTACTGTTCCCCCAGATGCACCCTCTTTCTGGATGATGCTTTCTGATTCCAGAGCACTGGAGGCTGATTCAGGGTCAGCCCTGATTCCTACCCAGCAGCCCCCAGAGTTTTCAGAGACCCCCGAGTGTTGGAGCACAGGGGTGGTTTGCAGATGGCTTCTCATTAGAAATCTCAGAGAGCCACCTAACCATCTGGCCTGCAGCGTCAGACCACAGGTGTGTGACTCTGCAGGCCCCTCAGACTCTAGAAGCCATGAAATCACCGACGGCAGCTTTGCACAACTAATTAGCAGGGGCCCAAAGGCCGCCTCATAAAATGAACACAGTTAAGCAGGGTATGGGGCACATAGCTCAGTGACAGATAGGATACCTAGCATGCACATGGCCTGGGTTCAGTACTCCACAACATACAGACACACACACACACAGTGAAGGAAGGCAAACAAAACTAATGGCATCGAGAACATGGCTGCCGTCGCCCTTGGCTTCAGCCATATCCTGGGAAAGTGAGAGTCTCCTTGGGGAATGAGCTCAGGCAAGTAGTGTGGATTGGCTACTGAGCACAGTCTCCCACCACCTGCTAGCAGGACCTTGGCCTCAGCTGCTCACAGATCCAAAGCCACCGTCCTCCATGGGGCATGGCAAGCAGACACACATTTTCTACTGGGAAAACACAGGCCTGACCTGGAATTATTTGGAAGGAAATGAACGAAGGAAGACCCTGGGGCTCCTTCACTGGGGTTAAACAGCCTCTTTGCTTTCAGGTTTGAAAGTTAAATTCTGCTGTGCCAGAGGACACATGTTTGTTTCCCTGAACACATGGCAGCCCACAACCATCTTTAATTCCAGTTCCAGTGGGGATCCAAGGCCCTTTTCTGGCCTCCATAGACACCAGGCAAACGTCTTGCACCTACACAGATGCAGACAAACACTTATACACATAAAATAAAAGTAAATAATTCTTTTAAAAAAATATACTTCAGACAATCTGAAGCCGGGGAGGTAGCACACACTTTTGGTCTTAGCAGGAGGAAGATCAAGTAAGTGTTCAAGATTCTCTTTTGCTACATAGCACGTCAGGCCAGCCTGAGACTGTCAGAAAAAAAAATAAATAAAAAAGATTCTGTTTACTATTCTGTAAAGCCTTACAGCAGACCTGAGCCTATTGGATTGGTTAAGAAATGCCCAGCCACAGAGGCCTTCCACTATCTTCCTTCCTGGACAGATGAAGGAGCCCTAGGGACTTTGTCAGGACCTGGGCAGAGGATTGGCCACCCAGGAGAAAGCTGCTCTGTCCTGAGTTGCCTGTGCTCACTGAGCCCAGGGAAGGAGGCCTGGGGCCCATCCCAGTAATGCCAGACTCTTCCTGGTCCTCTTCCTTTAATTCCAGTTAAACTTAGACAGGTCCATTCCTGGGGAATATGAATATCCCAGGGCCCTCAGGGGCTCACATTTCTAGATCCCTGCAATGGAAGTTTTGGTGTCTTTTAAAACTCAGATGTCTTATGTAAACATGTTTTTGTTTTAATCCCAGGTGCAGAATAGGGATCTGCTTTAGATTGTACACAGCAGCAGACTATTAGCCTCTCCCAGGCTCTGAGAGGAGCGTGATCTTTGCCAGCTGAAGATGGTTTAATTCTGAGGACTCTGAGAAGGTATAAATGCCAGAGCCTGGGGAGAGGGGGCTCTGAGAAAAAAAGAGGCTGCTCCCCTCTCTGCTGCTCCTGGTTGCTGTTGATGCAGTTTGATGAGAAGTTAAAGATAGCCTGAAATGAAGATTGGACCTGCCCCAAGGAACCCAAAGACCCTAACCAGCAGGAAGTAACTAAAGAGAACTACACTCTCTTTGCCCACTAACTTTTATTCTCTACTATCTGGGGTTGGGGTGCTGGAAAGGATTGGGGTGGAGAAAGGAGAAATATATAGAAAACCCCAATAAAATAAAATAGATTAAAAAAAATACCAACAAGTGGCACCCAGATGTAGGGCTTGGAATAATGGAAAAATCTGATTTCTAATGCTATAGAAGAGACAGTGGGGTACAAAGGAATGGGTATGCTGTTTCCGGATATGAGCAAAAGGTTTACTCCTGCTTTGCTCCAAGAGGAGATTTTGTGTTTCTAGTTAGTCTTCTTCCTGTATTCCATTTCAAAAAAGGTTGGGAGAATGGTTGAATAATTGGAAAAGTTGCAACTGGATATGAAGGGATCAAAGAAACAAACAAAAAAATGGGTGAAATAAGAACACTAAAAGTGTCACTAAATTCTCCCATTTTTTGAAAGGATTGCAGAGTTCACTATGCAATTAGAGAGTTTGCAGGTAGAGATAGAAGTGCTTAAAAAGGGAATAGAGTGGCTGGAAAAAGGAGAAGAAAAAGGATTCAGACCTGGTAACTGAGGGCTGGAGTTTTCCACAACTGTCACCTCCGCTCTGCTCCACACTATTTTGGTGTCCAGTTCCCATAGCTCCTGAGTGGGCTTGGGAGCCTAATGGAGCAGAAGGCTGTACAGGGCAAAAGGATTAAAGAGGAACAGCCCACTTCAAAAGAAAAGGTTGAACTTGAGCAAACTGAGCTGCCAGAGGGGAGCCTTGGGTTAAGAGATTACCACCTTAAGTTTTCCCAGTAGCCACCGAAAGCCTTAGATATCAAAATGCTCAGTGCTTCAATTGCAGTCATTTTGGTCATCTAAAAAAATTGTGACCAGGCTGCTAAAAAGCCTCAAAGTTTAAAATGACTGCTGCATTAACTCTAAGAAATATGGTACTTTCCACCAAAGAAGCCAAAGAGCCATGTCTGGCAACACAGGATTCTCGGCAAAACTGTCTAAGCTTCCGAGGGTTTGTAAATGCTGTGGTAAAAGACATCATTGGACTAGTGAATGCTGATCCAAGTGGGACATTCGAGGTAACCTCTTGCTGTTAGGAGGCAGTTTTGGAGTCCTAGCTTGAGGCTCAGCAGCAAAAAGGACGAGCTGTTCCAGACAGGAGCAGCTGAGAGTCATCAGGTTAGAAAAGAAACTACTGATTCAAAAAGTGTTTGGTTCGTTGATAATCTCCTTTTAAGAAAGCAACAAGTCTCATCCATATTAGAGGAACGGCCATCCTTTTAGACTAAAAGGGGGAGGAGTGCAGTGGAACTTTTGGTGTCTTTAAAAGCTCAGTTATGTCATGGAGACATGTTTTTGTCTTAATCCCAGATGTAGGATATGGGGCTGCTTTAGACTGTCCACAGCAGCAGACTGTTTGCCTCTTGCAGGCTCTAGAGGGACAGGGGTGCTTGAAAGAAGGAGGCAGCTGCTGCCCTCCTTGTTGCTGCTTGGTTCATCCTGCTGCTGCTTTCGCTATTGATACTTTGCTGGTTTGCTGGACTGTTGGATATCCCGACTAGAAAGATTGGACTTGCCCCAAGGAACTAATTCTAAAGAGGTCTACATTCCCTTTCCCCTCTAACCTTTCTTTCCTACCTAGTGTTTGAGGGGTTGGAAGGGAGGTAGAAATATAAGAACCCAAATAAAATAGATAAAAGTTCACCGACAGATCCCCTATTTAGACCCTCTGGGGAATGAGATAGCTTCCCAGGAAGAGTGGTGAAAAGGGCATTCTCAGACAGGCCCCAAGAGGGAGGAATCTGTAAGATTAAGTTGGAGAAAGGCACTCTCTTTCCAGCTCCTAAATCCAACTGCTTCACTCTCCTTGCAGTGTGGCCAGGCCCACTATGGGAAATCTGGATAGCTACATTTGTTCTCGAAAGGTAGCCCACAGGAGTGTGGGCTGGAGCAGAGGAAGGAAGGCCCTGCCAAGGCTATGCATCTGCTGGAAGAGATCTAGGTTCCCAAGGTTCCCCTGTTCCACAAGTGCAATAGGGAAGCTCCAGATTACCCCCCCCACACACACACACACCCTGCAGAGGCATGGTATTGCTGGTCAATGTCCCTGGCCCCCAGTGCTGCTGCCTGTCCTGTGTTCACAGTTGTTACCTGAGACTCAGCCATGAGCAGAGGACCTACGCCACAGGGCAGTACCTACCTGGTTGCTCCAGCTGCTCACCCTCAGCTTCTTCTAACCAGTCTAGGAAAGGAAAAAGAGAAGCAGTCACTCCTCCACCTGGGCCCTGCCTCATGTGGCCAGGTGAATGCAAGCTCTCTAGTCACCAGCACCTACAACAACCAGAGCCAGAGAATCCGTGTTCTCAGGTGTCTCCAGGCTAGGATGTCTACCTCTGGTGCCCTCCATACTAAGGGAGACTCTCATCTGTGTCAGCTCTGTGGCAAGCAGCGGCACGGACAGCAAGCAGCAGAACAAACTGGGCTGAGTCCCTTCTGCTGGTTGCTCCTTCACCTAAGGTACCACTCAAGCCTCCTTCCCACCTCCTTGGGTTGGCACTAACTGCCTGCTGGATTGCCATAGCAACCAAATGAGGAAAAGATGAAGAAGATGGAAGACAAGTAAAGAATGGGAGCTTATGAGAGTAGGCAGAGCTTTGAGGCATGTTGTGGGGAGAGGAACTGCATTGCCTTTGGTCATTCTGGTCCTAGGATTCTAGAGGCCAAGTGGCCCAGGCTAACCAACAGCCATGGAGTCAATTCTACCTGGAGCTGGGAAAAGTGACTCTGACCAGCATAGGCAGAGGGGCCAGCCCCATGAACTGGAAAGGGTTCTGGCTGTATCACAATGAGGACCTCAGGTTTCCCTGTCCTTGGAAGCTGAGGGCCCAGAGTGTCTGTATCTAGTGCTTCCTGACAGTGCAGATAGGCTCCCTCAGCAGCCAGAGACTCGGGGCTGCCTTCTGGTATCACCAATCTTGATGTCTTTGGATTCTGAGCCTGGTTGTCTGTACCCAACCCTGAAGGAGGATGCATAGTTGAAAAGAGTGGGGAAGAGAGGTTCCCTGGGGAGCCTGGAAAGAACCAGAAATGTCTGACCAGAAGTATCTTGAGACTAAGTCCATCAACCCACACTGGCAGGGAGGGCAGAGTGTGCCAGTCACATGCGGCCTTGACTGGACCACTGGGCTCCACCCAGTTGCAAAGCATTTGGCCCATGCCCTGTAGCCTAGTTCCTGATCTTCCAGGAATCTGCTGAGAGTGCTGGGAAGACTCTACGTTAATATGACTCAGCTAGCACAATCTTGTTACCCTCACAGCTCACAGAGCGACCAGAGATGCCACTCCCTCCCCACACCTACCCAGACTGCATGTGGTACACACATCTGTGCCAGATGTCCTGCTCAGGAGCCGCCGGGCATCCTCATCGGAGAAGCGACCCTCACTACTAAAGAATGACCTTTCGTCTTCACTGAGGAAAATCGCACTTTCCAGGCTGTGAAGACAAAAAACAAACAAGAACACCTTATTTAGAAGAACCAACTCTTTCAAATCCCAGGACATCCGGGATGGGTGGGCAAAATGGAGTCTGGCCAAGACATGTGTTAGGTTAACTGAGTTTACTGTCATTCCAGAACTCTGGAAGAGAGCCACTGGTCAGCCAAGTTTCTCTCCTTCCTCTTGTGTGAGCCAAGTGGCTCTGTCCATTGCCTTGCCTTGCTCCTATCTCACAGAGGACACTGCCTCATGGGAATTGTGTTCTCTTTTGTAGGCTCCAGATGTCCAGATTCAGGAATCATGATCAGCAAACAATTATCTCTACAGCTGACCTTGTGGTTTTGTCTTTTTTTTTTTTTTTTTTTTTTCTGACAAAATTACACAGTAAGACCCGGTTCTTCTCCCTCATTTGATGGCTGGCCCCGCTCAACCTCAGTGAAGACAAATACATACAAGAGTACGTGTTACTCTTGTAGATCTGAGTTTGGTTCCCAGACACAACCATCTACTCCAGGTCTAGGGAATCTGATGCTCTCTTCTGCCCTCCACAGGCATCGAACACCCATTTGGCACACAGACCAAACATTCATACACATAAAATATATTTTTTTAGATATTTAGATTATAAAGGTCCTGGGAAGGTGAATGCCAGGCAGATTCTCAAGTCTCACTGAACTGTCCCCTGTGAAACAACCATTCTTCCCAGAGTACCCAACACAAGGACACAGCTCATGTAGCCATAAAGTCAGGCAGAGGAAACAGGGAAGGAGAGCAAGGGAGGAGGAGGAGGCAGTTTTACTTATGAGAGCAAGTCAGCAGGGCAATGTAAAACTTTAAATGCATCTTACACCAGTCAAGGAAGAAACCACAGCACAGCTCTCAGCCTCTGACAAGACAGCATCAGAAAGAGAAGAGAGGAAAAGGCAGACTGAAGGCGCTTAGGGTGGAGCAGTGAGGTGAAACACACTCTGGAGTTATCTTTAGCTGTGAACAGCATGGTGGTAATGTGAATGTCTTGATTTTTGACACCTGCCCTGGGGTCCTACTTGAAATCCTGGCTTCATGAGCCTCTACTGCAAGGGGGTAGAAGATCTTGACTTGTATAACTTATCCCCAAAGGGTCTGAAAATAGGTGAAAGTAAGAGAGAGAAAAGAGAAAGTGAGAAACTGGCTTCAGCCATCAGCAGATGAGGGATGGGATGTTGTCATCTTCCACCTTCTCTGCAAGTCTGAGATAGCATCAATAGAGAAAAGAACCGCTGGGCTGTTTCCAAGCTCTAGTTCAGGGCAGGAGAGATACCAGAAAATATTGGAGTAATAGAGAAGTGGGTACAGTCCTTTGCTGTGAAACACGATGCCGCCACCCCCAACACTCTGGGGAGATAGGGGAGAAAGGACCAGAACCCAGCCCTGAATTTTGTTAAGTTCGGAACTGTCAAAGCCACAAGAATCCCACATCTGCCAAAAGGCCCAGGAACAGAGGAAGCATTCCTTGTAGAGGTGTGCCAACTCTGTAATGAGAGACCTCAAGACACAAGCCACGAGCCACACTGTTTCAAGAAGCCAGATGACGGCTGAGTTAATGAGGTTATCATGTGATGTGACGTTGCACAATACAGGAAGGGAGAACCCAGAATTCTGTCACTGGAGGTGGGTGGAGAGTCTGTGGAGCTCTCCCACAAGGGGTGTGGACAGACTGTGCCGCCATCCTGTGTGCATGCTGACGTTTTGATGGGGTACCAGGGAATGCTACTCTAAGTACGAGCAGCACGCAGGTCCAGCCAGTGTCCACCTGCTCTGTCAGGTGGGATGCTTTGAGTCAGGAGACAGAAGGGAGAGGACTCGTACTGATGGCAGCAGCTTTAGAGATTGCATCTGAGAGTTGCCTATGGCATCCAGCCCCCAGCAAGGCCACTGAAACACGGCCAGTTTGAGGGAGACATAGCTATAGAGGAGACAGTAGTAGAGGACAGGGTTTTTGTCATACAGCTGTGTCTCCAGGCTCCTTGGCTGAGGTCTTAACCAGGCCAAGTCCAGAGAAACCAGGAGCTGGCCAAGGGTAGGCTCAGCTAGACTCTCTGGCCACTCCCTAAACTCGGCCCACCCACCATTGCCCAAGGCTGTAGAGAGTTAGCTCGGAGATGACCAGAGCGCTCCCGTGAAGGGTCCCTTACCTGGAGCAGGTGCAGACAGGGCTCTCTCAGAGACAGAACAGGGCTGGGGTGGGGTTAGTGGTTATGGAAGGGATTTCACCAGAGAACCAGGTGACAGTGAAGGGTCACCCACACTGTTCAGAGCCAAGACAGGTGAGCTGTCTTGCAGCTGGCCTCAGGGGACCTGAAGGCAAGTGAGATCTGAGGCCATGAAGGCAGGTCCAGAAGCTTCGCAGGCCTTTATATATTGAAGGGAAGACATGGAGAACCTTCAAGATGTCTGTCCCCCTGGAACCTGGGAAGCCACTGGTTCTGGAAATTGGGTCTCTGTGGCTGTTACTAGCTAAGCTGGGGCAGAGAGGAGCTGGCTGGATGCACAGTATGGCAGCAAGTGTCTCACAAGAGGAAACAGAGATGAGGGAGGAACTACCAGGAACTTGAATGATTCGGCCAGAAGCCAGAGAGGAGCTGGCCAGTGGGAGCGAGGCTCAGTAAGAAGATGCACCCCTGAGAGCCACAGCAGCTTAGCTGCTGTACTTCCGGCCTCAGGCTCCCACCATGGAAGTAATACCCAGCCTGTGGCACTTTTCACCAAAGCCTGCAGAACTGAACTGTGGATGGGCACACTGGCTAGTCACACAGTGCCCTCTGGTGGCACCCTGGAAGGGCCAAATTAAGTCCAGTGGAAGAGGGGAGGGAGGCTAACGGAGGGTGGCAAGGTCCCCGCAGGAGCATTGTGGGGTTCAGGAAAGGGGCCTCTGCCACTCACTCAGATGCCGAGCCCTGCATGCTGACGAGGCCAGTCCTCACAAAGCCCACCTGGCCAGAGGCCACATGCCGGCCCACACACCAGGGCAGGCCAGGCACCTGGGCACCAATGATCTCGATGACATCACCAACTCGGAAGGACATCTCTTCGGGTCCTGAACCCTGGAAGTCAGCTTCTGCAGAGGCCAGGCCAAGCCCTGCAGGAAGAAGGCCATGTGGTCAGAGCTGAGGCCCTGTGGGCAGCCAGAGCAACCATCAGGCACATGCTGGTGTCCCTGACTGCATGGCAGAGGTGTGGTGAAATGAAAGCAGAAGGGGCGTTTGGATCCTCATACCAGATGGGCCAGTGAGGCTCAGACACTGCTGAACTGCCCTGGGTCACCAGCCTCCAGGCACAGATCTCTGCCTCATGCAGCTGAGACCTTTGGCTCTCCCATCACTCACAGGATTCTGTGTGTGCATGTAACAGATACAGGGGCCATCCAAACACTAGCTTGTTCCACAAGGGGCAGAGAAATCTGCCTCTCCCCTCCCCCTTTATCTGAGCTGAAGGGTAGCCTGTAGGAACAGCAACTCACAGGGAAGTCCCAGGACAGGGTCAGAGGGCCTAGCCATCCTCTATCCTGTTCCACAGATTCTACCCGAGTTCAGCCAGTCAGCCAGCCAACCCTCGGAGCTCCCAATGAACCAGTCTCAATGAGGTTTTCTGTGATGTCACATTCCTGGGCTGTGAGAAAAGTCCCAGCTCATTTCCTCAGGTGGTAGGCAATTTAGTTGGGCCCTGAACCACTCTGAGCTTTAGACAATCCAAAGTATATAGAAGGGTTTCTGGCCTCTTCTCCTGGCTTAGGGAACGTTCAGGACAAATGCAGAAACTTCCAGAATACTAGTCCCTGACACCTTCTTCAGCTGCTTCTCCCCCAGGAAGGCAAATCTGACACTTACCCATCAGCTGGGCATCAGGTGCCCCTGGTCCACCCATGGATTCATCAACGGGATCCCATGGGACCCTGAGAGTCCACCTGGAGAAAGGAAAGAGATCTGTGCTGTGGAGTCTCGGTTGGGGAACACGTGTGTCCTGTAGACCGCGCAAGAGCAACAGCTCCTGTGGACACTCACAAATCACACACCCCCTTCAACATACCCGCCCAGGTGTGCAGCCCTAAGGTTGGTGTTTGTGGTGCTGCCCCTAGCTGGGTGCCTCACCCTAAGAGCTACTGCCACCCTTGCTACCATGGGCCCTAAAAATCCCACTTCACCCAACCCCGCAAAACACTTGCCCTGACACTCTCTTGGAGCAACTGAGGCCAACAGAGTGTGAAGGCCTGCAGCCCAGGCAAGGGCCTGGATTTCAATTCTGGCTTTCCTGAATTTTCATCTGCTGTGTGGTTTGCTTTGGGCCTCAGCTTCTCCAGAAACCTTGACTGAGGCTGACACAGAAGGGCACACTCTGAGTGTTCTAAGGAGAAACTCCTCCCTATCCCCAAGGAGAGACCTCCTGTCACAGCTGTCCCTTCAAGGGCATGGTAACTCAGGAAATGGGGGCTTCTCCTTAGCTTTGCTGGCCAGGAAACTCCTGTCAAGCTTAACCTTCATGCACTGAAGTGAACAGGGGCTTCCATGTTCCTGTCCTTGGAACCTCTGGCTTTACCTTCCTTTAGTCTTTATTCTTGCAGATTTCTGTGTCTGTGCCTTGAATGTGACCCTCAAATGCTCTCCGGAGTGAGCATGACAAGCAGCATGTGCTACATTCAACTCTCCCTTATCCTTCTGGCCAGTATTGCCTAGGAGATGCCATTGTTCCTCCAAGCAGGCAGATGCCTGAGCACACTTGCAGCCACACTATAGGGAGCAGCAGGAGGGCCTGGAGTGGTCTGCCATCTGCCTGTCTCATGGGTCTCTCTGTACACCCAAATCCTACAGATGGAGTAATGTCTATGGACCCCACACCACCCAGGGCCTCAGGATGGATGGAGATTCCAGCTTGGTACCTACTGATGAAATGGAGTCAAGAGCTCTGGTTTGGTCCCTGCTGCTTCCACCTTGGAGGATGTGCTGGGCGTCAGGGGTGAGGAGTCTGTTTCCAGGATTGCCACTCCAAGAGGGAGCCCTGAAGCCTGCCTGAGGGCCTGTGGGCCCTTCCCTGCACCTTGGGGTCCCATCATCATTCTCACACGGTGGTCGGGACACAGAACAAAGAAGGACCCTTTGAAAGGACAGAGATGATCATCAGGGTGACCGGCGGGGCAGTCATTGCTCTGTCAAACAGGAAAGCTGCCAGGCCCAGCCCCAAGACCCACAGTGAGGAGAACAGGGCCTCTGCATTAGCCCACTCCACCCTCTTCTTCCCTGGGCCTTCATCACTGAAGGCCCAAAGGAGGTCTTAGCCTCACCTCAACTGATGCTGTGAGGTAGACTAAGACTCACTTTCCCACCTGCCATATTCAGGTATAGACATGGGTTCCTTTGCTCCTTTGTGCTTGAATGGTTACCAAGGAACCCGGCCTCATCTGGGTGTCCACCCATGGCCAGGGAGGTAAAGTAGCCCTGAGGTTCCTTCCTGGGGACTCAAGGCTCTCCCTCTATGAGGCCAACAATCTTGAATCAGGATTAAAAGGCCCTAGACAAACCCTTTCTCGCCATCTTCCTCACACCTCACCTTTTGGGGCTAATGTCTTTAGGATGGCACAGTCCCCTACTGATGCATAGATATTTTTTAACCTGTGACAATGTGTAGGGCATCTTATGCTATATCATGCCTCCCACCCAAGACCCTGCTGTGTCTAGAGCTGTCCCCCACAGTGTCCCCAGCCCAGGGTCACCGTTACTGCCCACCTTCCTGGGCGAGGAGGCTCTTGTGTGTCTGCTTCAATGCATCCTTGTTTACATACATGAGAATGGCTGTCTCTTCCTCCTCACTGGGTGAGAGCAGCCAGAAGGTCTGGTCCACCAGCAGGTTCTCCAGGCAGTGGTGTGTGAAGCCTGCAAGATCAGGCTTGTCACTGACAGGCACCAGGAGGGGCGGGGATCCCAAGAACTCAACCAGCAGACCTGGAGAGGATTCTGAGAATCTCCCAGCACCTCCACCCCCAGTGGGGACCCATCTCAGTGTCCTGGTTGGGAGAGTGACAAATGCCCACACACTACATCATCTGGCCCTGTTGTGCTTTGGGATTCAGAGATGTTAAGGGTGCAGAGCCTTGCAGGCACACTGTGATGCCCATGCCCCAGTGTCACAGCCAGTACCCTCCATGCCCATTTCCATCAATGCTGCGCAGGCCCGTGGGACACTGGGTGTCACCGCCTGCATAGGGACTGTCCCTTTATCAAGTACTGCTTAGCTGAAAGGCATAGCCTTACTCCCTTTATAAAGGTAGGGCAAATGAGCCAGGCATGGTGGTGTACACCTTTAATCCCAGCACTGAGGGAGGCAGAGGCAGGTGGATCACTGTGAGTTTGAGGCCAGCCTAGTCTACAAAGCAAGTCCAGGACAGCCAAAGCTACACAGAGAAACCCTGTCTTAAAGGAAAACAAAACAAAACTTAGGTCAAATGCTGAGAGAACCCCTCATTTACAGCAAGTGTGGGTGGGTACTGAGAATAGAAACTAAAAGGGCTGCTTCTGCTGTCTCCTGGGTGGTACAGTCCCTTCCTGGTGCTTAGAAGGTGGACAAAGGACAAGCTGACTGAGCAATGAACCAACTTCTGGTGGCTCCCCTGCCTGCCTGGAGTGCTGAGAAATGGTGTCTTAGTGGCCTCTACAGAGACAGCATGGCCACAGGTGTGAACATGTCATTGTCATCTACAAAGTCTTACAGACCACACTGAAAAAACAGCTGCACAACTGTTTTCTTAAGATCTCATGGTTTTTGGTTTGGTTTGTTTTTTTTAAGACAAGGTTTCTCTGTGTAGCCCTGGCAGTATTGGAACTTGCTCTGAACACCAGGCTGGTCTTGAACTCAAAGACTCACCTGCCTCTGCTTCCTGAGTGCTGGGATTAAAAGATGTGCTACCACCTCCTGGCTAAGATCCCATGTTTTAAGTAAACTTAAGAGTCTGTGTTGGCCCACATTCTAACAGACTACAGGTTAGACAGGCCTGGAAGCAGGCCAAGGTCAAGACAGCAGGCATACCAGGGTGTAATCAGGTGCAAGAGTCCAGCCTCTGAGAAATGCAGAGAGAGGCCACAAAGCTCAGTGCCATATCCTGCAGCACCCCCCTGGCCATCCCTGTTTTTTTGTTTTTTGTTTTTTGTTTTTTTCTGGAGTCTAGGTTGATGTAATACCAGTTTCCTCCCAAGGGGGTGCCACAACCCACTGTGGGAAGGGGGCTGTCTTACCAAGAGCATGATAGGTTGAAAACTTCCATATTTCTTCAAAAGTCTTAAATGTCACCACGATCCGGTCCTGGTCACTGTGGATGGACAGCAGCCTGGCTGATAGCTCCTGAAGAGGAAGAGACAGTAAGTGACAGTAGTCCCCGTGGCCTCAGTGCATCCAACCATTAGAGAACAGGTGTGTGGAGGGAACTTGCAGAATGGCCCTGGTTGAGGGTGGCAAGCACAGGACTCATCCCCTTACATTTCAAAAACTCATTATTCTTATCTGCCTGACAGGAAAAAAAAAAAACAAGGCTACTTCTTATTTAAAGCCCACTGCCTGGGTTGAAGAGAGGAAACAGAATGAGAGCCTACCATAAATGTCCTCTGAAAGACCCCATCCAGCAAGGGATGAAGGCAGATGCTGAGACTCACAGACAAACTTTGGACAGAGAACAGAGAGTCTCATGGAAGAGTGGGGGGATAGCATGTCCCAGAGGGGACAGGAGCTCTACAAGAAGACCAATAGAGCCAACAAATCTGGGCCCAGTGGGTGGGGCTGGCAGAGACTGATGCATCAGCCAAGGACCATGCATGGAGAAGACCTAGGCCGCCTGATCAGATGTAGTCGATTGGCATCTCAGTCTCCACGTGGGTGTCCTAGTAAGGAAAGCAGGGGTTGACTCTGACATGGACTCTGTTGCCTGCTCTTTGATCACTTCCTCATGGTGGGGCGGCCTGGCCAGACCACAGAGGAAGAGGGTACAGGCAGTCCGGGTGAGACTGGTTAGGCTTGGGTCAGGTGGTAGGGGAGGAGGGCTCCCCCTTTCTGAGGATTAGGACAGGGGAAGGTGTGGTAAGAGGGAGGGAGGGTGAGAGTGGGAGGAAATGAGCGAGAAGACTATGATCCGGATAGGATCCTCAAGCTGGAGCCAGCAGCTTGAGGGCCAAAGCCTACACTAGGGGCTTGGTTTAGGTTATCTGATACAGCGGCTCACTGGAGACAATATTCTAAGCGTTTCCAGTGTGTAGCTAAAGAAGTGGCTTCACACAGGCCAGGCAAACACCGAGGCCAGTACATTCTGCCCCAAGTCTGTGATGCTGACACACAGGCCTCTGGCACCTTGAAAGGTGGCAGACGGGAACTGGGCCCTGCCCTGTCCCTCACTGTCCTCTGAGTGACTCTTCCAGCTTTACCACCTTCCTCTTCTGTCCTTGCTGTGAAGGGAGGTGTCCCCACTTGCTCCCCAGGCCCCTGAGAGCTGACTCACTCCAAGCACACGGGCTACTTCCCGGCTGTCATTCTCCAGCAGGCGGAGACGGTTCCTCAGGGCCTGCTGTAGGCTGGGGCTCCGCAATCCACTCTTCCTCCTCACGGCCAACAGTTGCAGGGTCAGGTCTGGAGGAGCAGGAGTAGGGTCAGGCAGCTTGTCAAGCTCTGATGGGGAAAATGTTCCCCAACAGCTTCCAGCCCTCAACAGAGAAGCATATAATCCAACAAAGTTCATGATGCCCACAAAGGCATGGATAGCTATTTCCTCAACTCTTTGTGTTATTCAACAGAGGATGGATACTGTTTACCTCTCCAGCCTCAGTTTCCCTAGCTGTGCCTTCCCTGCACAGGAAGGGGATTCAGGTTCCATCCCACTCATGGACCAGCAGAGAGCACCTATTCAGCAAGGACCCCTCCGTAACTGTTACCCTTCAGCCTTCCACCCCCCACAACCCAGATTTAGATGTGGGTTCAAGTCAAACAACCACCACGGGCATGCCAGACACTCTGAAGCCTCCATACTGACCTTCAGAAGGACCCCACCCCTACATCTTATCGATGTACCACCAGTCCCCACACCCTTTCCCTTGCCCACCCTTAAGATGCATTGGCCAGGGAGCGGCAGCTGAGCAGCAGCTAAGCAGCAGCTAGCTAGTTCTGATCTCCACACAGCCAGAACCTCGCATGCTATGACCTGACCTGGCTCCCAGCACTGTAGGGTAGCACAGTCTGGTGGGTCTTTCTTTATGGTGGATAACCCCTTTGTCTGCACATCACATGCAGAGGCCACCAGCCATTTGGGGCTGCAGGGCTCTTGAGAGCTGCCCAGTGTGGCTGAGGTGCTAGTGTTTTTAAACGTTCCCGTAAATTTGAAGACCAGTTGTCCACATGATCTGTGTCTCTAGCCCTAGAAAAATAAAATCTGTTGGTCCTACGTGGTCCTCTCTGATGCTTCAAGACATCAAGGCAACTCAGCCTTGCCCCAGGTCCTCTTCCATATCAGGTCCTCGCTGACTGCCTGCCACGTTGTCCAGCTCCTAACTTGGGTCTGGCTTCCATCCCCTTGCAACCATCTCCTCTAACACCTCTTGTCCCGGAATCCAGGCTTCTGAGCAGCCAATTTGCCTGTGCCAGTGTTTGGAAATGCTAAGAGAATTGAATCCTTAGCCCTCAAGGTCAAAGTGAAACTGTCAATCACTGGCAGCAGCCTTTTCAGGGGCTATTCATAGAGGACACCAATGGTGGAGGAGAGAATGAGAGAAGGAAGGAGAGAGAGATGATGGCTCCCCCATCCTTGGGACAATCCGAAAGCACCTGCCTGCAAGCGGCCCAGGGGTTCTGATGTCAACATTCTCACCCAAGGTTGAGGAGCTCCAGAGGCTGAGCAGTGTGGACGCTTCTAGAATCTCACATTTCACAAGGATCCTGAGCTATGGTCGCTTCTGAACCCCCTCTTCCCTACAAGGGCAGGCATTTGTAATCCCATAATAGTTCATGCACAGGTTGGAGAGATGGCTTAGAGGTTAGGAGCACTGGCTGCTCTTCCAGAGGTCCTGAGTTCAATTCCCAGCAACCACATAGTGGCTTCCAACCATCTATAATGAGATCTGGTGCCCTCTTGTGGCATGCAGGTAGAACATTGTATATATAATAAATAAATAAATCTTTAAAAAATAAATAAAATACATTTAAAAAAAGAATAGTTCATGCACCTCAAGTGACTGTGGACAGCACTGGCCACCCAAAACAGCAAAAGTGAAAGTTAAGTTTGATCACAGACCTGGGGAGCTCACGTTCCTTACAGCTAGAGACAACAGTGAGGCTCCAAAGACAAGGGGAGCATCCTTACCGCAATTCTGTTTGCAGTGCTCCCCAACAGTCCTCAATAGATGCTAGGGTAAGGATACAATGGCAAGCACAGGCTGGCCCTGGCCTTCCAGGCTTCTAGTGTGTGGAGACACTTAGAATCCGAAGGCTTTCCTCAGCATTCTGAAACAGCATTTCACTTGCTCCAGATAAAGTTAATGCAGGAAGCCTTAAGCCCCAAGGGAAATTCCTTAGTGGATGCTGGTAGGCTCTCAGGACTCTCTACACTTGCTCATCATGTGACTTGGAGGCCCCTCCCCAAGGCCCATGTGTTGAAGCCTTGGTCCTTAGCTTGTGGTCTTGGGAGGTGGTCCTTCAAGAAGTATGGCCTAAGCTGGGTGTGGTGGCTCATGCCTATGATCCCAGCACACAGGAGGCCACGGCAGGAGGATTTCCTTGAGGCCAGCCTGGTTTACAGAATGAGATCCTATTTCAAAATTATGAAAAAATAAAAAATAAAAATAAAAAGTAGGTGGGGCTGAGTGGAAGGCTTCTAGGTCACTGGAGAATTGAGGGAGACAGATGGCAGGACCTGTCTCTTCTCTCTTCCCATTCCCAGCCATAGGGCACAAGCTGATTCCTGACATGTGCCCCCACTGTGACTTGCTGCCCCAGATCTAAAGCAAGGGGCCAGCCAACCTTGGTCAGCAGGAAGCCCACTCTCCAAGGATACCTCTGTGCTGTTACAGTAACAGCCAGTGACACTGACTGCAGATTTGGTCTGTTGCGAGACTCGGGCCCTGCTGCTCACCTGTGGGATACACGGCCATCTGGCCGGAAGGGGATTCAGCAGCCTGCCCAGCCAGGCTAGTGGTCGGAGCAGCATCTGCAACACACCAGGTGACTGCAATTAGAGAGACAAGCAATTCCCCAAACAACTTGGTCCCTCAGGTAGAAGGGTTGGAACCCACTGGTCACCTTTCCCATAAGCCACCTCAGTTGTCTCCCCCCAAAAGAACCCAAATGAAATAGGCTGTTGACCTAACAGCAAAGCCCACCCAACACCCAAACCCAATAGCCCAGTTCGGGAAACCAACACAGGCATCGGAGTGAATCAAGGTGCAGTCGGTCAGCGTATGTGGCTCCAGACAGACTCCCTTTAGTTTCAGGACACTGCCCACCCCTGGCTCTGCCAGCCCTCCAAGCTCAGATCTCTGACTCCGTCCCCTTTACCAGATGTCTTTCCAGATGCAAGGGTAGCGCGTCTAAAATTTGCTCTCAAACAATTGAGAGAAAATTAGCATGTCTATATATACACTGAGAGCGTGATCCAGTGAACCCAGAGAAATGGCATGTGGAAGTATTCACATTCGCTGGAGGAGACCAGAGTCATTTATTTGCTCTGTTTCTTGTGACTTCTGCTAATGCCTCACACTTCCACCCCCTTGCCTGTAAGACTCAGAGCTGAGGCTGTCCTATCTACTGAGCAGCCTTGCTGCTGGCAGCCATTTGAGCCTCCAAAGGCAGACGTCCATAGGCTGGATGGGCCTGGCTACAGTCATTCTGGTGCCACATTGTGTGCGGTGATAGAGGTTACTTTACATGGTGTGTATGTGAGTGCGTGTGTGTATTATTGTACGTATGTTTTATGTATTTATTGTATGTATGTGTGTGTGTGTATATGTATGTATGTGATGGTGGTAGGGGTTATTTTCCAACCCAGCAATTCCAATTTCTAAGTATCTTAAAAACAATGAAGAATGTGATCTGTACAAAGACATACACCTGAGTGTGTGTGGCAGCACTGTTAGTAATGCTTTTTACCATCTCCCAACCACAGAAAAGTGCAGGTGAGCTGTCTCCCCTGTTAAACGCACTTGCCACTGAGCCTGACAATTTACATTCAGTCTCTGGGACTCACAGCCAGCCTCTAGCCTATCTGGCCACATGGTTCCCAACTGCTTCCCAAGCTCTCCCCCAGCTCTGAGACTGGCAGTGTCTCCCTGGGTGGCCAACTCTGGGGCTGACTGTCAGGATTTCCCTGCTTATCTGAGTGTTCCCTTCTGTTTTCCTGCCCAGGCCTATCTGGAAGGACAGCCATATCGAACCTTGGGTTCTCCAGGCCCTGGCCGCACCCAGCCCTCCCTTCCTGGGAGGACCATTTCCTGTTTGTGAGTCAGTACTAGACCACCAGGCTCCTCCTCTTCACCCAGAGACAGAAGGATGAAACAGAAGGTCTAAAATCTGCAGGGGCCCAGCCTCCACATTTCAGGGTCTGAGCCAGGCCTGCCTGGAAGGTGAGGGCTCCCTTCTCCTACTATGTCATTCATTCTGTGTCAGTCAGGAGGGACTGAGCCTAGAGCACTTGGCTATCCCTGGAGGCCAGAGACAGGACAGCTGAGCAAGTGACAGAGTCACTTGGAGAAGCTTGAGAAGGGGGAGGGCCCATCCTCCTCTTCTAGTCTCTCTGTCAGGATCCAAGGGCGACAGTCATGGAGTCCTTGGGGTTGATGAAGTTGCCTCTCAGGTTTCCCAAGTGGGGGAAACTGAGGCCCAAGTCTAGAAGTAGCCTGTGGACAACCATGATGAGAACCAGGCCTCTTGGGGTGCAGTCCATCTGGCTTTCACTTCATAGCACTCTGCTGCTTGCTGGGTAGTCACATACCAGGTGTCCCCACCCAGGCCTCAGGAAGACTCCAGTCCTGGTGTGGCCCCTGATCACTGTAGCACCTGGGCCTTGCCTTGGGGGAGGGCACTCCACCCTGAGTAATAGAGGGTCAATGAGGACAAGGTGGAATAGCACTGTGCAGGTTCATCCATCCAGGGGGTATCTCTAAAACATTCTCCAGATGCTCCAGAGCAGGACAACTCTGCTCTCACTGAGACTCCTAGAGAGGCCCTCGATCAGCTGAGGAATGGGCCCAGCTGCACTACACCCTGCCTAGAAGCTTGGCTTATTTCTGGGCTGATCATCTGTTAGGGGTGGGGTGGGGGTTTGGTCCTGTATGTCAGAGGATGGATGGCCCTCACTTCTGAGCCCACAGTGTGGCTAACCCAGTGGGCCCGGTGAACAGAGCCAGGGTACCCAGAGGATTATAAGGATGTGGAGTGGATGGACAGGTGGGTATGAGACTACAGTGGGCTTCAGCTGCTATACTTACCACCGCTGACTGTTGCCTCAGCCTCCTCAGGCCCCGCTCTCTCCTGGCCAGTGGGCAAGCCCATGGACACACTGGGGATCTGGTCCCCATGGGTACAGCCTCCCGGAGGCTCCTCAGGGCCCTGCCCCATGGCGGACAGCTCCTCAGAAGTCACCTCCTCCTCCTCCCTGGAGCTCCTCATGACACACAGTGGTCTCAAGGCCAAGAGCTGGGCATGTTGCTGGCCTTCTGCGGAGAGAGGACAGTGGTCAGCTGAGAGGCCTCTTAGTGACAGACATGATGTTGCTGCCAGAGCCCAGTGAAGAAGAGAGGAGACTGACAATACAGGGTGCCCAGCACCTCCAAGACCCAGCAGTGAGCTTTGTTTGCCATAGGTCAGTTTGCTGACCACATCCACAGGCTTCCTCATGTCCTTTCCATACCTTAGACTATCTCACATCTTCAGTCCTTCATGTCGGCCATGTTTTCACTGTTAGAGCCTTTGCGTACAGGCTGCTATTTCTGCTCAGAGAATCCACACCCTTCGCCAAGTGAATCCCTTTGCAACTTTACAGAGCTCAACTTGGCAACTTCTTACCCAACTCAGTCAAGCAGCTGAATTAGGTTTCGCCAGAGGCTGGCACCACCATGGACATCAAATCAAAGTCACCTGATCTCCCAATCAGAGGTCCTTGGAGACAGGATGGGAGGGGATGCCTCCTTACTGGCTCTCCAGGAGGTCCCTGAGAAATGGCTCAGAGTCTGACCTGAGACAGTTGCTCAGACATCCCTGCAGATGACTCAACACTTGCACAGGATGCTGTGGGGACAGAAAGGAGCCCAGGTCTCCACCAGACACCCGAGGATCCTGGTTTTCAGGTGCATGACCACACATCTCATCTAGCTAGGGCTGAGGGAATCAACTCAGACTAGGAAGGAGAGGGAAAGAGGGAGCGAAGGGGAGGGAGGGGATGGAAGAAAGAGGGAGGCAGAGAGAAGTGAGCAGAGGAGGGGGTTTTGTAGGCTATGTGGTTCCAGTCCTCATGACCTCAGCTTTACTGGTGGCCCCAGGACCTGTCATTGTGCCTCACTCTTCCCTGGTTTCAGAAGTGAGAGTGGGACAGTGTAAGGACAGTTCCTGGGTTGTTCTATCAGCACAGAGGACACAGAGCACCAAATGCAGGCAAGTCAACTGCAGGCCACAGGCAGAGCTGTGGAGCACAGACTAGACTTTTGGCTTTGGTAACTGTGACACCCTCAGAGAGGACAAAAGGCAGAGGTTGGCTGAATGTGGTTCTGAACACTCCAGCCCATCAGCCCGACTCGCTTCAGGCCAGATTGTCTGCTGAAGGTTGAGGGCTTCCATCGTTGTATACAGAAAAGCCATGGAGACACTCTGAACTGAGTCCACGGTCTGACCCTTTCTTACCACATACTGAGGAGAGCAGTGCCCAGATACGGACCCAGAAACCCAACTGGCAGAATAGGACAAATGTCCACATGTGCCACAAACTACTACCAAGCCAGTACCACCATCTGATTGGCCCACCTCTACTGATCTGTGGTGAGGAGCTCCCAGCACAGGTAGACAGGGAAGTGAGGCACCTGGGCTCTATCCAGACCTAGGATGCAGGCCATGGGACTAGGACAGGCAGGGGCCCAGGCCTATGATGCAGAAAGCAGAAGGTGCCATTAAAACCGTTACGCAGGACTAGAGGGTTTCCCGCCATGCCAGGGGCTTCATTCGACGTTTGTACAGAGTATAGTAGAGAGGCTGGAGGTAGACAGGCCAGCGGTGCCAGGCTCATCTTCCACCAAAATTAGGAGAGCAGAGCCCTTAATATACACATCAGGTGCATCAGGACCACCTGGTCAGATTCCTCTCCCTCCCCCAAGAACTGCCCAGGAGTGTGGAACTGGGCCAGCCAGCCAGGCTTGCCTTCAGGGGGTTTCCGGAGTGACACAGGCAGCGTACCTGCTCACCGGCATCTACTGCCAGGGACCTCAGATTAGGCTGCTGGTACCAACGCTCATGCAACCTCTTTACAGCTGGGGAAACTGAGGCTGAAGGTATAGAATTCCCACGTGCACAGACTCCCATTGGTGTCCATTTCTAGTGACAGTGAGGCACATGGAACTCCAGTCATACTGCCTGATGTGGACTGTGAGTCTGAAAGCCTCTGGCCTGCTATGCCCTACTACTTTCAGGAGGCTGGTCATCTCAGGGAAAGGACTTTCCCCAGGAGCTGTCCACAGGTAGACCCTGACAGAGTGATAGAACCTTAGATGGATGAACAGGAATGGGAGGGGTCAGTGTGAACCCCAATGGGTGCTGCTGGAACCATTAGGACTGGCCCTGGGCTAACTCATGGCATCTACTTTCAGCAGAACAGGCGTGGTAGGACCGCAGTTCTGAAGCCTTCTCTTGGTGCAACAAGCACTGCTGCCCTCTACCCTGTGTCAGGCTCCAAGAGCATATGGGAAATCAGGCACCCAACAGGCAGAGACAGGTGTAGGCAATATGATGAAAAGACCAGGTCACCAAGCCCTGGGGGTGGCAGAACCATGACTGCTCAGCTGGAAAGGGAGGGAGACTCATAGAGAAGACACGTGGGCCCCCAGGAGACAACGGTTTGTGGAAGCCACAGTCCCACCCTTGGAAGTGGCCTCTGGGAGCCCCTGATCTACCCACTTAGCCACCTGCCTTTCATGGAATCCAATAGATTGGTTGATGGTCAAACCCTTCCCATTCTCCAACTGTGCTTGAAGGTCAAGATCTGGGAGCAGCAGCTAGGAAGGAGGTATCTCTTACCAAAGGCACCAAGGGGATCCTGGATCCCTGCAGACACCCATTCACCTCAACACTCAACGTCAAAGAAAAACAAAACTGAAGGCACTAGGAACCTATTCTCAACAACACAAGCACAGAAGTACGTACCAAGTCAGCCCTCCTCTGCCCCTGTCCTAAGGCACTGTCCCAGCTGGTCATGCCTGAGATCCTTCAGGTCATCCTTCAGGCTTTGGCCCTGTCAGCCTGACCTCCACCCCAGCCTGACTGGACAGCCCAAGCCTGGACTTACGTTCATCCCTGCCTTGTTTTTGCCAAATTTTCACCTTGGTCTCTACCACTGCAGAGGCCCATTGTCTTGCCCAGGTCTGTGAGGACCAGAAGGTACATGTCCTAGGGGTAGGTGTCTCATTTCCTTTGGTGTAACATCGGGGCCCTCAAACAAGCACTTGACCCAGTCTCTTGATGAGTGAGACTCTTGTAGAGCCTGTGGCCCCCAATCACAATGTCCCCAGTGTCCTTCTTCCTCTCTCTCTCTGCCACTTAGACCTTCAGGTGGCGAGCGTCTCCACAGAAGCTGACCAATGGCCACTACCCCTACCATCCCTGGGTCAGGGCATGCAGGGGTCTCGCACAGACCTGGAGCTGGCTTAAAGTGTTTCTGGGGAAATGAAGCTCCAGCTAAGGGAACTTCCCACCTGCTCATTGAGGGCCCAGAAGCTGCAATCGCAGTGGGACTTACAAGCCCCAGGGAGGAAGTGGGCACTGTCTCCCTTGCATGGAACCACCTCCTCCCTGCTCAGGCCTCCACAGGCTTGCAAGGCCTGCTCCAGCAGCAGCTCAGAGCCCAGCCAGCCCAGCCCCAGAACCCTCAAAGATGCAATTGCTGGGTCTGAGCAAACAAGAGTAACTGGCAGAGTCTCCTTCCATCCTTTGTCTTCCGCTCAGGTGGCAGACACATCAGGTAACCCCAAGTATGCCACCCCAGGCTCTGACTCCCACCACCCACCTAGTGTACTGCTGGAACATAGAGACCTAGGGCCAATCTCAGTGTGTGTGGGGTGCTCTATGCCTCAGTTTACCCACCCATAAAGTGAGAATAAAAACACCCGCTCAGAATGTTTGGAGGATCAAGCAGACAGACAGCATGCTGGCTGATAGCCTGTACATACTAGAGGCTGGAGGGAGGAGCCCCTACAGTTGGTCCTGCCTGGCCAGAGACCCAGCAAGGCATAACTGAGCCTATGCTGTGCAGGACTGCTGCCGCCCCGCCTGGAGGTGGCAGTATTCTCCACAGTCATACTAACCAGGAACTTGAGAGTTGGGGACCTGATTGGAAACAGGTGGTTTCAGATGAAGTTAACCACAGTAGGGTGTGGTCTTGTGGGCTGTTGGGCTAGAATGGTCCCATTGGACTAGGTGGTCATACCAGGTTAGAGTGAGCCCTCTCCCTGGTGCCTGGGATCTCTAGAGAGAACAAGACACGTAGAAGAGGAGAGCGTATAACACAAAGGCAGGGGCCATTTGGCCACAAGCAGAGACGGGAAGAGGACTCTCCCTTGGTAACTCTGGAGGCTGCATTGTATACAACTCCTGGTCTTTAAACCCTAAGAGAACAATTTCTGTCATCATTTTTTGTGGTGGCCATGGAACATGGTGATACCCTGAAGGTTTCTCTTGGGGCAAATGGACTTCACACACCTATATCATGGCATTTGTGATTCCACACACTGAAGACACCTTCACCTTGCCTGATGCAAGAAGTTTCATGAAATCAGCAACATGTTGACAGTCACATAGAGGTGGTGCTGTTCAGCGTCCTCCTCAGTCTTCACCTTTAACCTCAACTTGGAGGATGACTCCCGCTCCACCCATGTCGCTGCAGCAGGGACTGTAAGTCAGGTGGTGGGAGTCTCCTCCTTCAACCTGAGCACACTTTATTTGGTTAACATAAAGAGACCCAGAGTGACCTCAGAATGGCTGGGTCACTGCCACAGGGGCGCCATGAAGCACCGTGCTAGCACAGGCATGCTCGTCATGGCCTGGAATGTCAAGGCTAGAGTTCATCATTTGGGACCCACTGGCTTTTGAATTCCATGTTGTTGCTCAACTCCCACAGTCTTGCCCAGACCTCAAGGACACATTAGCAAAGTGTCAGTGTGAAGGCCAGGTCACAAGCCACCATTAGTAGTTGGTCTCACCTGAGCAATCCCTAGCGGAGCCCTGGTCTCCAAAAGCTCTCTGGCCAGATTCTCCCGGAGCCTAAGCCCAAACAAGCCGGAAGAAAGAGGAAGGTGGACCGCTCTTCTTAGACACAATTGTGGCAAAGCCTGGCTCCACTGAGATCACAGCCGACTCACAAAGCCCATACTGTCCAGCCCAGATCTCCCTTACCTGCACCCCGCTCTTCAGAAAACTTCCTCCCAGGCCCAGGGACGCAGGTGCCAGGTGGCCACTCCTA